AAATTCAATAGAAGTGTTCAGCAGCATACTACATAAAATGAAGAAAGGATCAGTAAACCCCAAGAAAGGGAAGTGGAGTTCATTCAGTCAGAGGAGAAAAAATGAATGAAATGAAAATGAAAAATGGGTGAAAAAAAGTGAAGTCAGCTTAAGGGAGTTACGGGACAATATCAAGCAGACCAACATTTGCATTATAGGGGGTCCCAGAAGGAGAAGAGAGACAGAGAGAGACAGCATATTCAAATAATGGGTAAAAACGTCTCTAACATGGGGAAAAAAAACAAATATCATATTTAGGAAACCCACTGAGTTCCAAAAAAGATGAAAACAAAGAGAACCACACTGAGACACATTATATTTAAAAGGTCAAGAGCTAAAGACAAAGAGAGAATCTTGTAAGCAAGAAGAGAAAAACAACTTATGTATAAGGGAACCCTCATAAGACTATCAGCAGATTTTTCAGCAGAAACTGCAGGCCAGACGGGAGTAGCATATAGTCGAAGTACTGAAAAAAACTTGAGGACCAAGAATACTCTACCTGGAAAGTTTTCCAGACAAGTAAAAGTGGAAAGGGTTTATCACAACTAGAATGGCTTTTCAAGAAATGTTAAAGGGACCTCTTTAAACTGAAATGAAAACATATAAAAGTACAAATCTCGTCAGTATAGGTAAATGCATAGATAAATTTAAAATACTCATGTTATAATGGTGGTAGGTAACTCACTTGTAAATCTATTATGAAGGTTAAAAGACAAAAGTAGTAAAAATAACTGTAACTACAATAAAATTGTATAACTATAATAATTGGTTAAAGGATACACAAGCTAAGAAGATATAAACTGTGACATCAAAAACATAAAACATGGGAAGGAAAGTAAAAATATAGAGCGTTAGTATGCATTTGGAATTAATTTGCTTTGCTTGCAATAGAATGTTATAACTATAAGATGTTTTATAAAAGCCTCACTATAATCACAGAGCAAAAACCTATAAAAGACATGCAAGAGATAAAGAAAAAGGAATCTAAACATACCATTACAGAAAATTATCATACCCCAAAAGAAGAAGGCAAGAGAGGAAGAAAGGAACAAATGAATTACAAAACAATTAACAAAATGGCAATAGTAAGTCCATATCCGTCAATAATTACTTTAATGTAATTAACAAATTCTCCAATCAAAAGTCACAGAGTGGTTGAATGGATAAAAAAACAAGACTCAACTATGTGCTGCCTACAAGAAACTCACTTCAGCTGTAAGGACACATATATACTAAAAGTGAAAGGATGGAAAAAGATATTCTGTACAAACTGAAACCAAAAGAAAGCAATATTAACTATACTTATATAAGACAAAATAGACTTTAAGACAAAGATCACAATAAGGGGAAAAGAAGATCTTTCTATAATGATAGAGAGATCCATCAAAGAAGAAGATATAACACATAAATACTTATGCACCCAATAGAGAAGCACCTAAAATATATACAGCAAATGTTAACAGACCTGAAGACAGAAATTGTCAGCAACATAATAATAGTAGGGAACTTCAACACCCCATTTCCAACAATGGATAGATCATCCTGACAGAAAATCAATAAGGAATCATTGGACTTAAACTACATGTTAGACCAGAGGGACTTAAGGGGCATTGACAGCACTTTCCATCTAACAGCAGCAGAATACACATTCTTCTAAGTGCACATGGAATGTTCTCCAGGAAAGGTCATATATTAGCACCACAAAACAAGTCAATAGATTTCAAAAGTCTGAAATCATATCAAGCATCTTTTCTGACCACAATGTTATGAAAACAGAATTACAGGAAAAGTTAAAACTGGAAAATTCACAAATATGTGGAGAATAAAGGACATGCTACTGAACAAACTTAGAAAAATCAACAGAGAAATTAAACAATATCTTGAGACAAATGAAACTGGAAATACAATATACCAAAACTTACGGGATGCGGCAGAAGCAGTTCTAGGAAGGAAGTTCATAGTGATAAATGCCCACATTAAGAACCAAGAAAAAGCTAAAATAAACAACCTAACTTTAGACGTTAAGGAACCAGAAAAAGAAGAGCAAAGTAAGCCAAAGGTAGTAGAAGGAAGGAAATAACAAAGATCAGAGGGTAAATAAATAAAAGAGACAAAAAGACAATAGAAAAGATCAATGAAACTGTTTTATTTTGAAAAGATAAACAATAGAAAACCTTTAGCCATAATTACCAAGAAAAAAAGATAAGGCTCAAATAAATAAAATTAGAAACTAAATAAGAGACATGACAACTGATAGCACAGAAATACAAAGGATCATGAGACTACTATGAACAATTATGTGCCAACACAGTGGATAACCTATAAGAAATGGATAAAGTCCTAGAAACATACAACCTACCTAAACTGAACCATGAAGAAACAGAAAATCTCAACAGACCAACTACTAGTAAGGATATTGAATCAGTAATCAAAAACGTCCCCACCAACAAAAGTCCAGATCAGATAGCTTTACTGGTGAATTCTATCATACATGTAAAGAAGAATTAATCCTTCTCAAACTCTTCCAAAGACTAGAAGAGGAAAGAAAACTTCCAAACTCATTTTATGAGGCCGTCATTATCCTGAAACCAAAGTCAGACAAAGACACTACAAGTAAAGAAGTTACACTTGATGAACATAGATGCAAAGAACCTGAACAAAAGAGTAGCAAATCAAATTCAGCAATATATTAAAAGAATTATACACAATGATCAAGTGGGATTTACTCCAGGGATACAAGGATAGTTCAACATCCACAAATCAATCAACATGGTATACCACATTAACAAAATAAATGATAAAAAAAAATCATCTCAACAGATGCAGAAAAAGCATTTAACAGAATTGAACATCCATCATGATAAAAACTCTCAAAAATACACATATAAATGGAATGTACCTCAATATAACAAGGGCTATACATGACAAGCCCATAGCTACTATCATAGTCAGTGGTGAAAAGCTGAAAGCTTTTCCTCTATGATCAGAGACAAGACAAGAATGCCTATTCTTGCCTCTTCTATTCAATAGAGTACTGGACATCCTAGCCAGAGCAATTAGTCAAAAATAAATAAATAAATAAAAGACATATAAATTAGAAAGAAAGAAGGAAAGAAGTAAAACTGTCTCTGTTTGCAAATAACATGAAATTATAAAAAACATCCTGAAGACACCACCAAAAATCTGTTAGAACTAATAAATAAATTTAGTCAAGTTCCAGGATAAAAATAAATATATAGAAACCCATTGTGCTTCTATATACTACCCATGTACTAACAGAGAGAGAAATTAAGAAAATAATCCCATTTACAATAACATCAAAAAGAACAAAATACCCAGGAATAAATTTAACCAAGGAAATGAAAGATATGTACACTGTATACTACTAGACACTGATGAAAGAAATTGAAGAAGACACAAATAAATGGAAAGATAGCCCATGCTCATGGATTGGAGGAATTAATATAAAAATGTCCATACTACCCAAATAATCTCCAGATTTAATGCAATCCCTATCAAAATTCCAATGCTATTTTTCACAGAATTAGAAAAAACAATCCTAAAATTTGTATGGGGCCACAAAAGACTCCAAATAGCCAAAGCAATCTTGAGAAAGAAGAACAAAGCAGTAGGCATCATATTCCTGATCTCAAACTATATTACAAAGCTATAGTAATCAAAATAGCATGGTACTTTTGGCATGGCATAAAGAGAAACACACAGACCTATGGAACACAATCAAGAGCTCAGAAAATAATCCCACATATTCTGGTCAATTAATATTTGACAAAGGAGCCAAGAATACTCAATGGGGAAAGAATAGTTTCTTCTATAAATGGCTTTGGGAAAATTGGATATTCCTTTGCAAAAGAACAAAACTGAAAAAAAAGGAAACCCTCGTGCACTGTCAGTGGGAATGTAAATTGGTGTAGCTGTTATGGAAAACAATATGAAGGTTCCTTGAGAAATTAAAAATATAAATATAACAGGATGAAGCAATTCCACTTTTAGGTATATATCCAAAGGAAACAAAATCATTATCTTGAAGTGATATCTTTACCCATGTTCACTGCAGCTGCTGGGCGTTCCATGCATAATTGCTCCTCTATTTGTTACGACATATAAGGTTAGTGTTGGTGTACAATCTCTGTCAATGGAAAGAATTGAAAACTACTACGTTTGTTGTAATTTGTGTACCTATCATCCATTTCTGATTCCAAAAAATGACAGGCAGGATTTGGTAGCCACATAATGAAGAGATGTCCATATACTAACTTAACCAGAGGAGGCTTCTGGAGAATTGTGGGTAAGACTTCTCTGTCCCCCATTCTCTCTTTGAATCTGGCCTTTTCTCTTCAGACCATAGCCGTCAAGCAGAAGTAACAGAAACCCATAAGAACTTCTGCTTCATGTACACACCCCCACAAATGTTGGTGTCCTATTGCCTGAATCAAGCTACCTTGTTCCCTTGGCCAGTGTTTTTCTTTTTTTAATTAATTAATTAATTAATTTTTCATTGTGTTGGGTCTTTGTTGTTGCGCGCGGGCTTTCTCTAGTTGCGGCGAGCAGGGGCTACTCTTTGTTGTGGTGCGCGGGCTTCTCATTGCAGTGGCTTCTCTTGCTGCGGAGCATGGGCTCTAGGCACACAGGCTTCAGTAGTTGTGGCACACAGGCTTGCGGGCTCTAGAGCGCAGGCTCAGTAGCTGTGGCGCACAGGCTTAGTTGCTCCGTGGTATGTGGGATCTTCCTGGACCAGGGCTCAAACCCGTGACCCCTGCATTGGCAGCAGGATTCTTAACCTCTGTGCCACCAGGGAAGTCCCTCCTTGGCCAGTTTTTAAATGCACACACTTGTGCTTCTTAAAGACTTTTTTTGTTAAATTGGAGAGAAAAAAGTCTATCTTTCACCAGAGTCCCCCCAAGTTTTTAGACATGCTTTAGAAGTCTTTAGGCCTCCTCTTGCCAAGTTACTCTGAAAATACTTTCCTCACTGATGGCAGGAATAACTTCATAACACTTCTACTTCCCACATGATATAAAAGAGAAGAGATACTGGGACATTTCCAAAATTAAGGGAAATTTCATCTTACATGGGAGATTTTTACCAAATGGAACTGGAAGCTGGAACTAGAATTTGACACAGGAAATTTAAATTCAAATGTTGAGTATTAGCTCTCAACAATTTTTGAGTCTTGTTCCAGTTTGTATCCATGACTCAATATCCTCCAGCCACCAAATACTTATGTTTATTTCTCCTGAATTAAGCACTTATTGAGCCTGTTTTTACCACAGTGCTGACGGTGTAATCTGAATACATATAAAGTTTCAAAAATTATAGTGTTTTTCAGAGAAATGAGCAGATGACTAATAGAGACCTTTCTGGACCAAGGATCAAGATGAATGACCATTGATGTGGACTCCATCAGTGTACTGATGCTAGCAAAGACATAAAGATGTAAAATCACCTTTGGTTTATAAGGTATGCCAACTGTATGTGTTATATGAATGGCCATAAAACAGGTAACATGGAGAAAGCTGTTTTTATGTAACTATTTACTCACCCCAAATTCCCATGAATATTGCAAAGAACACTGTTGACTCATTGTCAAATAAATGGGAGAACTGTAAAACAATAACAACATCACAAAGACTACTTAGAATCAAATGAGGGAGGAAAATTGCAAGTCTTTTCAACATACCACAATACATACATACCTTTGAAGCCCAACAGGTAGAATTTAGTCTCCAATAGTCACACATTACATCACAGAGCGGGCACATGATAATCTGACCCCCAATCTCAGGGTCACAGATCTCAGTGCTGCAGAGGGAAGAGGAGAGTTTTTGTTTTGTTTTGTCCACACGGCATGGCATGTGGGATCGTAGCTCCCCGACCAGGGATGGAACCCATGCCACCGGAAGTGGAAGCGTGGAGTCCTAACCATTGGACTGCCAGAGATTCCCAAGAGCAAAGTTATATTAAAAGTGACGTGTTTGGGTGAAAGTCCAAAGCTGCTTTTATTGGAACAACTTTATACAGCTTCTTACATGTGGCACAAGGGGAAATGAACTAGCAATTTTTGTAGATCAAATCATGCTTTGAGGAACAGAATCTTTAGAGCCCATCATTAAAAACAAATTTTCCATAAAGCACCAGGTGAGGGGTAGCTGCTATGTTTGGGTCTTTTTCAGAAATATCAATTAACTGCTGCCATAGGAAACATTCTGACACAAATTCCAGAAAAATAATAGCAACAGTTTCAGTTAGCATAAGATTCTCTATTTGGGCAACTCAGTTGCACTTACCTGCTTGAGTTATCATGCATCGATAATAAGCCGTAAATAAAACAAGCTAAGCCAACTATAGCTGCAAAAAACAACATTTCTGTGTAAAATCCGAGAAAGACAAAATAGATGCCAATTTTTTCTCCGTAATAATCCCTATGAAAGAGGGTAAAAAGAGAATCAGAGGTTGTAAGAATGATACAGTCCTGAGAGTCTTGGTTTTGTATTCAGACAAACCTGAATTCTAATTTTGGCTCCATTGCTTTCCAGCTGTGAAATTTTGATAAAGTTACTAAACTTTCTAAACTTTAGTTTCCACATCATAAAATGCAGGATAATGCTTAGCCATAGAATTGGTGTAAGGATTAAAAGAGACAACACATGTAAGTAAGAAGCTAACTGAGTGGAAGTTAAGATTTACTTTTGAAATAATCAGGTAATTTGAAAAGCTTTTAAATTTTAAAGAGAGTTTAAATGTTTTGAAATAAAGTGCAGAACATTCTTCTAGCAATTAACAAATCAAAATCACATTCACAATCTGTGCATGGACTTTTGCTTTATCTCTCTCTAAAATTGAAGAATGTACTCAGACCACAACAGATGAGAGTGGTTGTATGTATGAACTTCCATCTTCCTCTAAATTTGGAGCTCTGATGGATTCTTATAGAATTGTAAGACAAGGAGCAAACCAAGGAATCGAAAATGAGTGTTTAATAAAGTTCCATAAAATATACAGTTCAGCACTTGCTTTACAAAGAGTTAAAAAGTGACAGCATTAGTTGGCATAAATGTTCAAGTCTTATAACCAAGTTTTGGGGTTTTTTTTCTGTTGTTTTTTAAACTGACTCGCTCCTTAAGGAATCTCTCAAAGAACCAGAGAACAAGGTTTTCTCTGCCTCATAAAACCAGGTTTTTTAAAAAAACAACACAAAATAGGTTAATCTTCTCCCTTATTCACGTAGAGCTCAGCTCACCAAATCCGTGAAGTCTTACCACAGTTTCCTAGACAGAGAGATGTAATCCCTTTTCGGCTCTAATAGCATGATATATATAAATCTATTACAGCACTATTTATCAAATTGTAATTTCCACACATGCTCAAAAAACAGGCAAATCTAAACATAAAGGGTTTAAATTTTACATAACATAAACTTATTTAACATAAACTTAATTTCCCAATGAGAAGGTTTTTAATTTTTTTTCACTCAATATTAATTTTATTGAATATCCCATTCTTCAGTTTTCAAAATTTCTAATCTTTTCTAATGAAACAGGCATCTCTCTGCTTGTACCATCTTCCATTCTTTCATTTTTTCATTATTTTCAGTGATAATAAACATTTTTGCATTGTTGTTTTCCCTTGTTCTGCTTTTCAAATTACTATAAACTTGAAATTAAATGATAATTCCATTGTATTCCCTTGTTAATTTACCATTTACAACTTCCTTAGGTTCACTTACACAGGAGGAGCAAACTTGCTTTTTCTCTTTTTTTTGTTTTTGCTGAAAAACATAGCAATTATTATAATACTGCATAACATCAAAATCTAAAAAAAAGAATAAAAATATTTGATTTGGGAAAATTTACTATTCATCGTGTCTATTTCCATTTGATGTTTTAAAAATTATAGAATCAATCATTTTTAAGGTAAAACATCAATATTACTGCTATATGCTTAGCCAAAAAATTATTTGGGAATTCATAAAGAAACTGGATATTTCAAAGAACTACATTTTTCTTCCTTTCAAATTTCAAGAATCTTATTCCTTGAGAGTTAAAAAAAAGTCCTCAAGAACTCCAGACCTTTAATTAGTATTTAAAATATTCTCAAAAAGAGAAATTCTCAAATGAACATTTATTATGTATGGAATTATAGAAATAATTTTACTAAACTTTGGATTCGGGGAGCTTAATAATAGATTAACAACTAAACCATCTCTTAAGAATCCAAAAAGCAAGAGACATGTCTTAGATTTGTATTATGGTAAATACGTATATATTATTTACATATTATTGAAATAACGTTTAAGATGTTAAATTCTTATTATTCAAAACAAAGAAAATGAGAAAAAGCCAATAATATGAGATACCCTGTAAAGTGTCAAACATAAGGAGAATAAATACTTCTTTTCAGTATTAATTTTTTAGAAAAAATTGCCTTTTATTTACACTTACGGTATTTCTTAACCTGTCCATTTTACTTGCTAGATTTTGCACTCATCTGTGGCCCCATAACATTTAACAGGGCATCTCATAGGTAGAAGACATTCAATAGTCTTCGTTGTGAGATCTTGTGAGAAGGCACTGGTCTAATTTTGTATTCCCAGGACTTAGTCTGAGACATAGCAAATAATCAAAACAATGATGATGGAATTGAAATAAATATAGGCTTGAGGAATGAATGAACAAAATGCAAACATTTGGTCTAAGGAGATTCATTTTTACCGTGAATTCATGGACATCTGAGAAACTTAGCTTAGCGATTACACTATCTTGGCTTTTAATAGCACCATTATAGTCACTGTAAACATATTTGTTCTAACCTATTTGCTATATAGCAGTATACCAATTTTATTTATAAGCATTAAGCCATCCCAATAGATGATATCAGAAAAATTATTTGGAGATCTTAAATTGGAAAGAAAAAATGGGATCAGAAGGCATATAACATTGAAGACTGATAAACCAATGATGGTAACCTTTGTATTCCCGGTTCTCCCTGAAAAAATATAATCTAATATGACAAAATGATCAGTACCCAAAAGGCAGTAAAAATACTTACAAATATTTGGACATGGAACTTAAGTTTGGTGTAGAGATAACATGAAATATGTGAAATCTAGGAATTCAATTCCTATATTCTAAATCTCTTTCCAGGCACCCCTAGTCATCATTTTTTTTTAACCCTCTATATCCAATCCACTAGGTCCAATAAATTCTGTCATAAAAGTCTTTTTCTTTTTTTCTTTCTTTCTTTCTATTTTTTTTTTTTTTTTGGCTTTGTCATGAGGCATGTGGGATCTTAGTTCCTCGACCAGGGATTGAACCTGCAACCCCTGCATTGGAAGCACAGAGTCTTAACCATTGGGACCACCAGGGAAGTCCCATAAAAGCCTTTTACTAATCCATAGTCCCCTCTTTCCTGTTACCAGTGCCTTGGATATGACCTTCAAAATCTATTAACTGGAAAATTTTAACAGCCTCCTTACTTCCCTGACTTCGGTCTTGCATCCTTCTACTATCTGTCCTGTTTCCAAGAGACTAATGTTTCTAAAGCACAAGATTAAACAATGACCGGTTCCTCCTTTAAAGGTTTTGTCCTTTCATCTTAGCAGTGTTCTTCATGATTTTTTACTGATAAACATTCAAATCTTACGAGCCACGCCTCCTAAATGAAGAACTAAATGCACAATGCTCTTCTTTAGCCCAGTGCTCTGTACTTGTTCTCTCTACCTGGGATATTCTTAACTAACTTGTTTACCTAGCAACCTGCTACTTCTCTCAAGACACACTCAAGAATAAGCACTGTGAAACTTTCCCTGAGGTTGTCATAAAGGTAGGTGCTCTTTCCTCTGTGCTCTGTTCTTTCATGAGAATCACTCTTCTGTAATTATTATGCATTTGTGTGTCTTCCTGCAAATATCTTTGTGTTAGGAAACCACGTTCTGATTACCTTTATAGCCCTAGCCTCTTGCTGATATCTAGTGATGCTAAATAAATGCTCATTAAAGGAATGTGGGCATTGTAATTATGCATCTATGGACAATTCCTTTCTACTTTTAAGGATATTTTTATTTTTAACAAGTCTTCCCATAAAAAACTTTCATAAAACCATAAAATCAACAAGGAGAGGAAATAAAACCACACCTGATATAGGACTTCAAGCATCGTGACAGAGAACACCATGATCTTCAAATTACTTGTAAGTAAAGAAATAAACCCAGTTCCAACTGAGTACCTATTACCAGCTGCCATACCTGAGGTACAGAGAGCAGTGAAGAAGATGCTTAAGAAATTCTAGGGAAAACATGTAAAGTAGGGTGGGGACATTAGACAAACACAGACAAAATAATCCCTGGGAAAGTCTAACTAAATGCCATAATACTGAACACATGTTGGGACTTGGTAATTCGTAGTACTAGCTAAAAGAAAGGGATCTGAAAATGAGTAAGCCTGGAAGTGGCAGCCTCAGAAAAGCAATGTTTCTGGGGAAGAATCAGATATAAAGGGTGGTACTTCTTAAAAGTGGCAGAAAAGAGAGAGAGTTAGGATTCTATAGAAATGAAAGAAAAAGCACATGACAATCACAGGATATCATCCATGAAAGAAACTGCATGGAATAGGAAAAAAAACTAACAGAAGAGTGTACTCTAATGCTAGAAACTCCATGAATTAAACACAAACAGAAAAAAGCAGAGCATACTATACAAAATTATGTTAAAAAAAAACACCCGAAAATGTGAAACAATGAGCTCCAACTAATGAAAATTCTCCCAAAAGAACATGAGGAATACTGTAAAAAAACAGTACAAACTGAATTAAATGTTCTCAAATAAATAACTGGAAATGTAAGAAAATATCAGAAATATAAAAATAAGAAGTGGGAAAAAACAGGAATAAATAAAACAGATGAAAGAAACCAAAAAACAGAGGAAAGAGAAGAACCCTATAAGATCATGTCAGAACTGATGATGAAATTATGAGGTATTCAAGAGAATAAATGGACACCAAGTGAAAATCTAATAAAAGATGATAAGAAAAACAGGATACCTATCAAAAGAATGAAAATGACATAGAGAAGTAAAAAGGGTCTCAGGAAAATTGTTTGATATGAAGACAGGCAAAAAAGACCAAACATACAGATAACTGGAGTCCGAAGAAAATAATCAAAGCACTGGAAAATAATTATATTTTAAAACTATAACCCAAGAACACTTTCCAGAAAAACAAACAAACAAAAAAACCCAAACAAAATAAAAGATACATATTTAAAGGATCCACCAGGAACAGAAAAAACTGACTTAGAACAACCAATTCCAAGACATAATGTGTTAAAACAATCAGATTTTAAAACAAACAAACAAGCAAACAAAACTCTCCAAGGCCCCAGGCAAGATGATAAAGTAATGTACAAAGGCAAAAGAACTTCCTACTAAATGAGGACACACCAGAGGCATTTCCAGTAAGATCAGGAACAAGGCAAAGACACCAACTATTATTCAACATTGTTCTGTAATTATCAGCCAATTAATTGAATAAAAGAAAATAATTATAGACATAAGAATTGGTAAAGAAAAGTAAAGTATTTCTGTTTAAAGATTACATGATAATATACCTCGATAGCCTTAATGAATCAATAAAACTAATTCAATAAAGAATTCATCAAGGCATTAGAATATAAAACTAACACTCAGAAGACAATAACATAAAACATGTAAGTAAATACATAATTTATAATAGCAACAAAAATATAAAATACTTAGGATTAAACTTAAAAAAGTTTTATAACTCTATAATACTCCTGAAAAACCCGAAAGTAGGCTTAAACTAAGACATACCTTTCCCTTGACAACTTTTCCTTGATTAGAATGTCTCATCATCAAAATACCAGCCTAGGGCTTCCCTGGTGGAGCAGTGCTTGAGAGTCCGCCTGCCGATGCAGGGCACATGGGACCAGGACATGATGCCCCCGTCCGGGAAGATCCCACTTGCTGCAGAGCGGCTGGGCCCGTGAGCCATGCCCACTGAGCCTGCGCGACCAGAGCCTGTGCTCCGCAATGGGAGAGGCCACAACAGTGAGAGGCCCACGTACCGCAAAAAAACAAACAACAACAAAAAAATACCAGCCTACCTAAGTTAATTTATAAACTTAATTTGATCCCCATAAAAATACCAACCATCTTTTTTAGTAACAAGCTAGACAAGTTTATACTAAAGTTTATATGGAAGAATAAACATGTAGAATGTACAAGGAAACACTGAGAGTAAGAGCTATGATGAGGTATTAGCCCAACTAGATATTAAAACATACTAGAGGTAAGCCACTACAATTAAAAGAGCCTTCTGAATCACTTTGCTGCACACCTGAAACTAACACAACATTGCAAATCAACTATACTCTAATATAAAATAAAAATTAATTAAATAAATAGCCTGCATGGATAGTTAGCTAGATCAACAGAATAGGCAGAACATCCAGAAAGCAACTCAACTGCATATAGAAATCTAGTATATGATAAAGGTGGTACCTCAAATGACTGAGGCAATGACAAACATTTTAATAATAGTTTTGGGACAAGTAGAATAGAAAGTGCATATTTAACTTTATAAGAAACTGTCAAAGTTGTTTTTTTTAAAGTTGCTATACCATTTTGCATTCCCACCACCAATGTTTGAGATTTCAAGTTGTTCCATATCCCTGATAGCACTTATTGTTGCCAATCTTTTAGATTTTAGCTATTCTAGTGTGTGTGTGGTGGCATCTTAATGACATTTTCATTTTTATCCCCTTAGTGAATAAAGATGTTGTACATCTTTTGATGTACTTACTGGCAATCCATAATTATATTCCTTTGGTGATGAATCTTTTATCTTTTGTCCATTTTAAATTTTGTCTTACTATTGAGTTGCAAAAGTTCCTTAAATAAAAGTCCTTTATTGATATGTGTGTTGCAAATATTTTCTCCAGTCTGTGTTTTGCCTTTTTATTTTTGTAACTGTCTTTTAACGAGCATACATTTTTAATTTTAATGAAGTTAAATTTATACATGTTTTAAATTGTGCTTTTTGCATTTGATCTGAAAAGTCCATGCCTAACTCCAAACCACATACGATTTTCTCCTATATGTTCTCCTAGAAGTTTTATAGTTGTAACGCTTACAATTAGTTCTCTCATCCATTTCAAGTTAGTTTAAATTTTTGTACAGGAAAGAAGCAAGATTCACATTTTTCATGTAGATAGCCACTTGTTCTAGCATCATATGTTGAAAGGACTATCCTTTCCCCAATGAATGACCAGGCACCATTGTTGAAAATCAACTGACTATGTATATGTGGATCTATTTCTGGACTCTCCTTTTATTAAAGATTTTTCTTTGGAATAATTTCAAATATATAAAAAAGTTACAAGAATAATTCAAATAATACCCATATATCCTTTAATTCTTTTATTGTAAAAATATTGCTGCATTTGCATTTTATCTCACTTCATATATTATATTTCCCCATATATATATGCCTTTTTCTGAACCACTTGCAAGTAAGTTGGTTGAACATGTACATCATGGTCCTTTACCCTTAAATACTTTATTATCTATTACTAAGAATAAGGATATTATCCTACATAATCACTGAGAAGAAACCTTAGGAATAAGAGCTGTTTTCTGCAGTTCCTCCTTCTGTGATAATATAGTGTTTTCTTTCTTGTCTTTCTGATTACCTAGTTAAAAACTTTACACCTAGCTATCAATTCTTTACATTAAATTGTGTTAAAAATTTCAGTTTATTTAAAAAATTATTTCATTACTGAAATGGAAAAGCAGTATAATTTGCTATAAATGAAAAGTTATAGTAATAGGATGAAAAGCTTTAAAATGTTATTAAATTTAAGCTAGATACTGCCAACTGATGAAAAAATCTGAGCTTCCACTTTGTTGTAAAAGAAAATCAGCAAGTGCTAACAAGGTACTGACCTGAGGTGTAATGCATTTGTCTATATCAAGGGTTATAAGTACAAACCTTTGGGGAATATTTATAGCAGAAACATCTGTAGACAGCTAAATACTCTCAATATATTTTGAACAATGTAAAATACGTAAACCTCATTCTGACAACTTTGCTTTTTTGAAAACATACCATGAAAATATTCTCCAAGGGCACTAATTGTAATAGTGAAAAGTTTGAAACAGCCTAATCTTTTTCAATAGAAGAATAGACAAATAAGTTATGCAAAATTTATAATATGGTATCCTGTGTTGTGTTAAAAAGCACAAGATAGATCTGTGTGTACTCAAAGGGAAGTATGCCAATAATATACTATTTAGTGATAAAAGTAAATAAAGATTCCATTGCTCCAGGAAAAAAAAAGTGTATGTATTTTACTTCACATGCACATAAAAATAAGACTGAATGGCTATTACCAAATAGCCATAGTTACTTCTGTGGAATTCAGTGGAGGTGTAATTTCACTTAAAACTTTGCACATCTCTTTATTGCTTGGAATTCTTTAGATACATGTCCTACTTTTATAATTAAAAAAATTAAATGGCCATTAATCAGAACAATTAAAATATCCATCCAATCAAGAGTTTATATAAAGACTTACAGAAACCACAGTTTATATGCTAGTTGCCTTCTATTTATTCTTTTTTTTTTTTTTTTTTTGTGGTGTTCCGCGGGCCTTTCACTGTTGTGGCCTCTCCCGTTGCGGAGCACAGGCTCCGGATGCGCAGGCTCAGCGGCCATGGCTCACGGGCCCAGCCACTCCGCGGCATGCGAGATCTTCCCAGACCGGGGCACGAACCCGTGTCCCCTGCCTCGGCAGACGGACTCTCAACCACTGCGCCACCAGGGAAGCCCTATTTAGTCTTAAAAATTTCCCCTCTTATTTGTCTTAAATGAAACTGTTGGAATAACATTTCACTTGGTTTGGATGTAGACATCAAAATCAGTCTCATAAAAAGGAGGCTGTGATGCTCTGCAAGGAGAGCAGTAAAAGCATACCTCACTGAGTAAAAATACTGCTACTAGCAACCAGGGGTCTCTAATCTGACTGTTTCTTTATTGAAATCATAGCAGCAGTCTCCTAACATCCTGTATGCATGTAATATTGTCATGGTTCAAAGCAAGAGCCTGCAACCATAGTCTTCTTGAATAGCTAATGAAACTGTCTAAAGAATTGAGATAATAGAACAATTGCCTTCACAGCTTTCTGAGATCAACACACACACAAACATCCATACATGACCTTTCTGCTATCTTCTAAATTCCTAGACTCAGAGGAAAACAGACAAACAAAAAATTATTGTGTTAAACACTAAGTGCTAACCCCATGCTAAGAAAATATACATATATCATTTAATTATCAAATAACCCCATAAGGAAAGTACTATTGCTATTCTTATTTTACAGATATAAGTCTCATAGAGGTTAAATAACCTGACCATATTTATATGCTTCTAAGAGAAAGAGCTTGGATTTGAACCCCATCTACTTAAATGCTAAGGCCCAACTTCTGAACCATCAAGCTATCGCTGCACTGTGGTTAAGACCATTCTGGCAACAGCATTTTGCTCACAAATGAATGACTAAATGGTAGTGTAGATACAAAACTGGGAAGATGGGAAATGTAGTAGGTGAGAATAGTAGTAAAAAGAATGGAATATGATGACATTGTGAATAAAAACCACATAATCAAGTTTTAATCAGTTTGATTCTGTGTAAGAAACTTACCTAATCAAATTAAAAGGCTGCTCCTTGTAAAAATAGGAAAACCGAGCCCAGTTCTGGCAAAGTGTGTACCTTTCATTGACAGGATTAGGAGGTTCTGATGGCTTCCAATATTGACCCTACAGACACACAAGAAGAAATTACTGAATGACAAAGCAAAAGACAAGGGTGAATAAAGGAACACTGCTTTTATAAAAAGCCTAGTGAATGAGGCAAATGTTCTCTTTCACTTTTCAATTTGGATTTTCATATTCTATTGATGTAAATTACTAAATCATTTAGTGTATTGTAGAGTGTAGTACATTTGCTACACCCTACAATAAATGAAAATAATAGTGCTTTATTTATTAAATTTTCACACCCAGCTATCTAAAAACACAAGTTGAAGTCTGAGACTTTGGCTTTACTCAAGCTGCTCCTTTGACCTGGAGTCCTCCTTCATCTCTACTCAAATTCCAACAGTCACAGCTCAGGGATTCCCACAACTGTATAACTGGCTGGGAATTTGGAAATAGGCTGACATTTTTTTTTTTTTTTTTTTTTTTTGCGGTACGCGGGCCTCTCACCGCTGTGGCCTCTCCCGCTGTGGAGCACAGGCTCCGGACGCACAGGCTCAGCAGCCATGGCTCACGGGCCCAGCCGCTCCGCAGCATGTGGGATCCTCCCAAACCGGGGCACAAACCTGCGTCCCCTGCATCGGCAGGCAGACTCCCAACCACTGTGCCACCAGGGAAGCCCAGGCTGACATTTTTATTTTATAGATGGAAAAACTGAACCCCAAGCAAAGTTAAGTGAATGATCCAAAGTCACACAGCTATGACTGGAATCTCCTCAAGGCAACCTGTCTTGTCCTCACTGGCCATCACTGGTATCTGTTTCCCAAAGGACTTAAAATATACAACAGACTTTAGCACTTAAAAGCCTCAATATTGTTTCACGTGTAAGTTCCTTCCCCATTTTTAGGTACTGAGTAGGCTTATTAATATAAAGTTAATTAGGGCCTAGCAGAGCACTGTCTACACATGGCTGTTCAATATTTTCTCTTTAACTGTTTGCCTAGACAAGTAAACAACTGAAGACAACACTGAGCAAACACCCAATCTAAAATTAAGCACATATGAAAATCTCTGTATGACAAGGTATAAGATTTTATATCATCCAGATTCCAAATTTTGTCTTCTTCTATAGCTTGTCCTACTGAATCTTGAGAAATGAAATAGAAAAAAAGCAAAAAGCTGCCTATTTGCGTATCTTTAAAAAAAAAAAAAAAAGGTTCTTTAAAGCACATAAGAGAAAAATCCAGTACCTAAATCTGTATTCAGGAGAGAAGAAAGGAAAAAAGGTAAAATTAATAGTAAATGATAGCTCTCTGTAGCAAGAGCTCAGTAACACTGATTTTCTAGTGACCGTGGAGGACTCTGCTAGAAGGCTAGATATATGGAGTAAAATTGCTGGTGACTGAGGACAGTTTGGCTTTATGACCTGGTGAGAGTAAGAAAAGAATCAATGCCCTAAAAACAAACAAACAAAAAAGTCCTCAAAATCTTCAAAAAAAGAATGAGCCCTTTTGCGAAGAATGATTAACAAAGAATGTGTTGCAAAGTGTTTATTAACCTGCTATAGATCTCTCTACTTGATCAAACGCTGTGGCATTATTTAGAATCCATAATCCCCTAGAAGTTCTTTTGCCCCAGGGAAAAGTGTGTGTTGTGTGTGTATGAGGGGTGGGGTAGTTTCTCTAACACAAGTTAAATTCACCTGAATTGATACTAGTGTTGAGAATTGCCACTCATTTTGAAAAATTCCCCTAACATACCAAAGATAATCAACTAACCAATGTTGAATAGACCTAGAGTCAACAGTTAACATACTGCTGAATAAATATTGACAGAGGAAAGCTGGAAAAGAGAGAGATTGGCTTTGGGCTTTTGGAAACCATGACAGCAACATCATTTTCAAAAACATGGGCAGGACTTCCCTGGTGGCACAGTGGTTAAGAATCCACCTGCCAATGCAGGGGACACGGGTTCGATCCGTAGTCCGGGAAGATCCCACATGCCAAGGAGCAACTAAGCCTGTGTGCCAGAACTACTGAGCCTGCGCTCTAGAGCCCGGGAGCCACAGCTACTGAGCCTGTGTACTGCAACTACTGAAGCCTGCACGCCTAGAAACCCATGCTCCACAAGAAGAAGCCACCGCAATGAGAAACCAACACACTGCAACAAAGAGTAGCCCCTGCTTGCCTTAACTAGAGAAAGCCCATGTGCATCAATGAACACCCAATGCAGCCAATAAGTAAATAATAAAATAAAAATTTAAAAATAAAATTTAAAAAAAGGGCAATGATTTAGATGCCACTTGTTTAAATAGAAATACCTAGTTCTTTTATATTCCAAAGGAATGTGTTTCTCAAAAAGAGGTCATCATCAAAAAGTCTTTATAAGCATAGCAGAGTGAAACAGGATAAAAGGAAACCAAGGTTCCAGGAGATGATCCAAACTAGTTTATATGTGTTCAGCTAAACAATATCTACTGACAACAGGTGATGAAATTTAAACACTGAATATCCAAAAGGAAAGGTTTCTCAGAAACCCCCAGAAACTAGGCTATCTCGGTTGACAAGCCAAGTTTTAGGTTTGGTTGAATGGGTGCACCTTATAAAATGTCACTTCTTTGTTGAACTCAATATTTTTGTACATGGTCCGCCAGCCTCAATCCTACTCCAGAATCTCGGTTGTTTGTCTGAATCTTTCTTATGGACTGAAGTCTTTAGCTTTTTTTGCAGTTGTACTTATGCTTTATTTCCCAGAAATTCCTAGTCTGTGAGCTTGGATTCATAGTTGTGTTCCAGTAATACCTAACAGAATGCTTTACATATAATTAAAACCAATTATACATTTGATGAATGAATACATGAATGCATGCAACTTAAGTCCTTTACAACTTAAAAACTTTATAAATAAGATTTGATGGATAGAAATTTCCAAAAGTTATGCTCTAAAATGTTCTTTTAATATAACTGCTATTTTCAATATGGGTTCTAAAGAAAATTCATGTGCAAATGTAATAATTTTTAAATGAATTTCCACTGAAATCTCAATGTAGAAAGGTATTAACTATGAGTTTCAGCATAGTTCTCAGCTTGGACCTAGGGAGTCTGTGGGGATTTTCCCAACATGAGCAAGATTAAGCAACCTGTCATAAAACAGGAAGCAAATGGAAGATTCCTTTTCCCAACAAGGCAGCCTCTGAATGTGGGAAGGGGAAAACGGGCTCGTATTTCAAGAACAAGCACATACTTACATCATGGAGTGGAAAGGCAGATGAATAAGTATGAGAATTTAGCAGTCTTTCAATTCCAAACCTTTTCTTCCCATCCTCTATGCCAAAAGGACACCGTGAGAGAATATAATAAACCTATAAGGTAAGCATAAAGAAACACACATTTCAGAACTTTATGCTTTCTATATTTTTTTCAAGTCACAATTTAACAGAGTCTACTTTGCCTCAGTACAGGCTCTGATTATGGAAGGAACCTTCCCCTTTTTGTTTGGGGGAAGATGTAGACGTTGGGGCTGTATGGAGTCACAGGTATTTCACCTCCTGGGTATGAGAGCTCCTTATTCCCTTGGGGAGAGAGGGAATGGGTCATATAAGTTATTTTTCTTCTCCTGTCCCAAGCTCCTCTGGGAGTCCTTTGTACCAGAATTCATACTATAATCAGCGTTTCAAGTTAGAGTCTAATACCACTGCTACTAATAGTTCAGGTAGGATAATATGGAGTAGAATTGACACTTGGCCAAGCTGTCTTGAATACTTCTCATTAATTACTCTGATGTTTTGAATAGGGCCTTTTCTTGATATCAGAATTTATTAACTCAAGATTACCACACCTCTGCAACTACTTTGCAATCATTTACATATTTTGATCAGTTTTTTCCTCCATATAATTTGGGCTTTGTGTCCTCCGCTTCTGTATATTTCTAAATTCAATCTCATCTGTTTTTTGTCTTGCAGGAACTTTCCAGTATTTCTGCTTTTCTGACTGCTGACTTTGGCCATTTTAGCATGGTTCTATTTTTTTTCTATATTTTTTTAATCTCAAAAAAAAGTTTATTTCTAAGGCAGGAGAGAATAGAGGTTAAAAGAATCTTCCCAAGCTGACCATAACTTTTTTTTTTTTTTTTTACTTTTTTGGTTCCATAAACTTTTTTTTTCCTTTTTTTTTTTTTGGTACGCGGGCGTCTCACTGCTGTGGCCTCTCCCGTTGCGGAGCACGGGCTCCGGACGTGCAGGCACAGTGGCCATGGCTCACAGGCCCAGCCGCTCCGCGGCATGTGGGATCTTCCCGGACCGGGGCACAAACCCGTGTCCCCTGCATTGGCAGGCAGACCCTCAACCACTGCACCACCAGGGAAGCCCTATTTTTCCTTTTTTTAAAATATCTTTATTGGAGTATAATTGCCCCACAATGTTGTTAGTTTCTGCGTATAACAAAGTGAGTCAGCCATACATACACATATATCCCCATATCCCTTCCCTCTTGCATCTCCCTCCCACCCTCCCCATCCCACCCCACTGGGTGGTCACAAAGCACGTCGCTGATCTCCCTGTGTCATACAGCTGCTTCCCACTAGCTATCTGGTCTACATTTGTATACTACAGTTGCATTTGTAAATGCAACTCTCTCACTTCTTCTCAGCTTACCCTTCCCCCAGCCCATGTCCTCAAGTCCACTCTCTATGTCCATGTCTTTATTCCTGCCCTGCCCCTGGATTCCTCAGAAACATTTTTTTTTTCTTTTAGATTCCATATATATGTGTTAGCATATGGTATTTGATTTTCTTTCTGACTTACTTCACTCTGTAGACAGACTCTAGGTCCATCCACCTCATTATAAATAACTCAATTTCGTTTCTCTTTATGGCTTAGTAATATTCCATTGTATATATGTGCCATATTTCTTTATCCACTCATCTGTCGATGGACACATAGGTTGCTTCCATGTCTTGGCCATTGTAAATAGAGCTGCAGTGAACATTGTGGTACACGTCTCTTTTTGAATTATGTTTTGCTCAGGGTATATGCCCAGTAGTGGGAATGCTGGGTCATATGGTACTTCTATTTTTAGTTTCTAAGGAACCTCCATACTGTTCTCCAGAGTGGCTGTATCAATTTACATTCTCACCAACAGTGCAAGAGGGTTCCCTTTTCTCCACAGCCTCTCCAGCATTTGTTGCTTCTAGATTTTTTGATGATGGCCATTCTGACCTGTGTGAGGTGACACCTCATTGTGGTTTTAATTTGTACTCCTCTAACGATTAGTGATGTTGAGCATCCTTTCATGTGTTTGTTGGCAATCTGTATATTTCCTTTGGAGAAATGTCTATTTAGGTCTTCTGCCCATTTTTGGATTGCGTTTTTTGTTTTATTGATATTGAGCTGCATGAGTTGTTTGTATATTTTGGAGATTAATTCTTTGTCAGTTGCTTCGTTAGCAATTATTTTCTCCCATACTGAGGGTTGTCTTTTTGTCTTGTTTATGGTTTGCTTTGCTGTGCAAAAGCTTTTAAGTTTCATTAGGTCCCATTCATTTATTTTTGTTTTTATTTCCATTTCTCTAGAAAGTGTGTCCAAAAGGATCTTGCTGTGATTTATGTCGTAGAGTGTTCTGCCTATGTTTTCCTCTAAGAGTTTTAGTGCCTCACCTTACATTTAGGTCTTTAATCCATTTTGAGTTTATTTTTGTGTATGGTGTTAAGGAGTGTTCTAATTACATTCTTTTACATGTAGCTGTCCAGTTTTCCCAGCACCACTTATTGAAGAGGCTGTCTTTTCTCCACTGTATATTCTTGCCTCCTTTATGAAAGATAAGGTGACCATATGTGTGTGAGTTCATCTCTGGGCTTTCTATCCTGTTCCATTGATCTATATTTCTGTTTTTGTGCCAGTACCATACTGTCTTGATTACTGTAGCTTTGTAGTATAGTCTGAAGTCCAGGAGCCTGATTCATCCAGCTCCATTTTTCTTTCTCAGCATTGCTTTAGCTATTCAGGGTCTTTTGTGTTTCCATACAAATTGTGAAATTTTTTGTTCTAGTTCTGTGAAAAATGAAATTGGTAGTTTGATAGGGATTGCACTGAATCTGCAGATTGGTTTGGGTAGTAGAGTCTTTTTCACAATGTTGATTCATCCAATCAAAGAACATGGTATATCTCTCCACCTGTTTGTAACATCTTTAATTTCTTTCATCAGTGTCTTATAGTTTTCTGCATACAGGTCTTTTGTCTCCTTAGGTAGGTTTATTCCTAAGTATTTTATTCTTTTTGTTGCAATGGTAAATGGCAGCATTTCCTTAATTTCTCTTTCAAATTTTTCATCATTAGTGTATAGGAATGCAAGAGATTTCTGTGCATTAATTTTGTATCCTGCTACTTTACAAAATTCATTGATTAGATCTAGTGGTTTTCTGGTAGCATCTTTAGGATTCGGTATATATAGTATCATGTCATCTGAAAACAGTGACATTTTAACAACTTCCTTTCCGACTTGGATTCCTTTTACTTCTCTTTCTTCTCTGATTGCTGTGGCTAAAACTTCCAAAACTATGTGGAATAATAGTGGTGAGAGTGGGCAACCTTCTCTTGTTCCTGCTCTTAGTGGAAATGATTTCAATTTTTTACCATTGAGAACAATGTTGGCTGTGGGTTTGTCATATATGGCCTTTATTATGTTGAGGTAAGTTCCCTCTATGCTTACTTTATGGAGAGTTTTTATCATAAATGGGTGTTGAATCTTGTTGAAAACTTTTCTGCATTTATTAAGATTATCATATGGCTTTTATCCTTCAGTTGGTTTATATGGTGTATCATTTTGATTGATTTGTGTATATTGAAGAATCCTTGCATTCCTGGGATAAACCCCACTTGATCATGGTGTATGGTCCTTTTAATGTGATGTTGCATTCTGTTTGCTAGTATTTTGTTGAGGATTTTTGCATTTATGTTCATCAGGGATATTGGCCTGTAGTCTTCTTTTTTTGTGACATCTTTGTCTGGTTTTGGTGTCAGGGTGATGGTGGCCTCACAGAATGAGTTTGGGAGTTTTCCTCCCTCTGCTATATTTTGGAAGAGTTTCAGGATAGGTGTAGTTCTTCTCTAAATGTTTCATAGAATTCGCCTGTGAAGCCATCTGGTCCTGGGCTTTTGTTTGTTGGAAGATTATTAATCACAGTTTCAATTTCAATGCTTTTGATTGGTCTGTTTTATATTTTTTATTTCTTCCTGGTTCAGTCACAGAAGGTTGTGCTTTTCTAAAATTTATCCATTTCTTCCAGGTTGTCCATTTTATTGGCATATAGTTGCTTGTAGTAATCTCTCAGGATCCTTTGTATTTCTGCAGTGTCAGTTGTTACTTCTCCTTTTTCATTTCTAATTCTATTGATTTGAGTCTTCTCCTTTTTTTTCTTGATGAGTCTGGCTAATGGTTTATCAATTTTGTTTATCTTCTCAAAGAACCAGCTTTTAGTTTCATTGATCTTTGCTATCATTTCCTTCATTTATTTTTCATTTATTTCTGATCTGATCTTTATGATTTCTTTCCATCTGCTAACTTTGGAGGTTTTTTGTTCTTCTTTCTCTAATTGCTTTAGGTGTAAGGTTAGGTTGTTTATTTGAGATGTTTCTTGTCACTGGATGTAGCATTGTATTGCTATAAACCTCCCTCTTAGAACTGCTTTTGCTGCATCCCATAGGTTTTGGGTTGTCGTGTCATGTTTTCATTGTCATTTGTTTCTAGGTATTTTGATTTCCTCTTTGATTTCTTCAGTGATCTCTTGGTTATTTAGTAGCGTATTCTTTAGCCTCTATGTGTTTGTATTTTTTTCCTGTAATTGATATCGAGTCTCATAGCACTGCGGTCAGAAAAGATACTTGATACAATTTCAATTTTCTTAAATTTACCAAGGCTTGATTTGTGACCCAAGAAATGATCTACCCTGGAGAATGTTCCATGAGCACTTGAGAAGTAAGTGTATTCTGTTGTTTTTGGATGGAATGTCCTATAAATATCAATTAAGTCCATCTTGTTTAATGTGTCATTTAAAGTTTGTGTTTCCTTATTTATTTTCATTTTGGATGATCTGTCCATTGGTGAAAGTGGGGTGGGTGTTAAAGTCCCCTACTATGATTGTGTTACTATCTATTTCCCCTTTTATGGCTGTTAGCACTTGCCTTATGTATTGAGGTGCTCCTATTTGGGTTCATAAATATTTACAATTGTTATATCTTCTTCTTGGATTGATCCTTTGATCATTATGTAGTGTCCTTTGTCTCTTGTAATAGTCTTTATTTTAAAGTCTATTTTGTCTGATATGAGAATTGCTACTGCAACTTTCTTATGATTTCCATTTGCATGG